ACTAATCAAGGAGAGAAGCAACCTAGAACTAAGGAGAAACTTCCTGACAGTTAGAACAATTAACCAGTGGAACAACCTGCCTCCAGAAGCAGTGAATGCTCCAACACTGGAAGTTTTTAAGAAGAGACTGGACAGCCATTTGTCCGAAATGGTATAGGGTTTCCTGCCTGAGCAGGGGGTTGGACTAGATGACCTCCAATAGAGTCCCTTCCAACTCTATTATTATTATTATTATTATTATTATTATTATTATTATTATTATTATTATTATCTCTGTTGTTTTAAAGTTGGTTGTTCTTTATCGTTTTTAATTGTCAGCCTCCCAGACTTATGCACATGAGATGGGGTACCAAATACATTATATAAGTAAATAAATATATGGGATGAGATTAGAAATGGATCAAATCATCTGAACTATTGCTCAATTAACAGTCTAGCATTTGCAATTTGGAACAGCTAGAGAATTGACAAAGAAGAGATTTCTGCTAATGGCTTGCCACATTCCCTTTTCTTGTGAATCGTATCATGAAGTGATCCTGTCTGAGAGTTTATTCATTACCTGTCATTTTCTGCAAGGGCTCCATCATTTGTATTCCAACTCTCTCGACAGCAACAATATTGTTCTCCTTTAAATACTGCTTCAAGGTTGGGTGGATGACCTTCTGGCATATCACAAGACCAACACCATCCATTATTACTTCCCTGCCTACACCGAGTAATTGATCCAACACTTCGGCTTCTAGAGAAACTCCATGGTGGATAGCTATGGCTCCTTCTCCTGCATGAGACAAATCTCCTGACATAGACATGCCAAACAGAGCCACCCTGATCTGGCCTGAAGCAGTTCTTTTGAAAGGTGGGGTCAGATGCATTTCTGGCATTTCAATTAAAAGTCCAGGATAGACAGTAGAATCCATAACTCTCTTATTTTTTATAGATATGTAATGGCATTTTCCTAACACAGCAGTAGAATCCACATTTTGGGGGATTGTAAACAGAAAGGCCTTCAACACCAAAATACTGATATGATCGGCTTCCTTCCTGCTAAGCATGCAGGCCCGTTTGCTCAATATGATACTGCGCACCAGGCTAAGGAGAAGCTTAGAACTACTGAAATCCACTGGTATCCGGCAACCACAGGCTTCAGATGAAAGGTAGTCAACGCACAGGCTCAAAATATGTTTGCTAATTTTAATGAAAGTATAGGCAGCAATATTCAGGTTTTGGTATTTTTCAAGCAAGCTGCAGCAAAAAATTGCCGTAAATAAGCCGCTGTCCCCAAAGAGCGCAAGGTGATTCTGCACAGAGGCTACCAGAAGCTTTAAGACGGGAAGAGTGACACAAAGGCTACTGAACAAAACCGAAGATTGTGATGAAATACGAACGTATCCTCCCATGCCATTGTGAAATTGTTTAAGCCTACCTGTGGGGCCATAGCAGGATCTCATTATATTACCAAATGTGGAGACAGCCTGGCTGACCACCTCCTTAGTTAAAGGACCAGTGGTGCAGAGGGAAGGTTTTTTAATGTCAATTCGAGACATCTTTCCTGACAAAAATTCCAGTCAAGCTTTAGAAGCCTTCCATTTCTACAAAACAGTTTTTAATCATCATTATACACAGGCATGCGAGACCTTGGGTTTTCTTTGCAGGCAAAGACACAACAAAGGGATTTAACAGCACTTATTTGATGTTAGACAATGCGATCAATGTGATGATTGCCGAAGCTCCTTCATTCAACGAGACCTTTTCAGTTCATTTCCATGCACTGTTTTTGAAGAAAGCTTTGTTGCTTTTGGTAGACGGTAAAGATCAACATGGGCACCAATGAATAAAAATCCAGGCATAGGCAGCCAATCCCTACTATTCCAGCTGCCTTACATCTTTTGTTGATGGAGACCTATAATAAATAAGGGAGATATACCTATGAGAAGGAGGGAAAGAAAGGAGATTTCATAATACTATAATCACAGTATACATTTATTAAGACCACTTATTTCAGTGCAAACGCTTGGCAAATAATAAGCCCTCTCTGAAAATGAGGTATAATCATAGTGAATAT